GGAGGATGCCTTTGTCATGTGGTCTACAAAAGTCCATTCCGAGCGTGAAAGATGAGCGTAACCACTCACACACACTTATTCACATGCACTGTCCAGTGAATGCAAACACGTCCATATTTTGTTTTGAAATTGAATAAAAGTACAATTTTACAAATAATGCGCCCTTCAAAAACTAGTTTAGTTGATCTGAATTCATGAAACTTATGCAGAACTATTGGTCGTTCCGTAATGTCCGAAGAGTTCAACGAAAAAAGGTCATGAAAAGCCTCCGATGTTGGCAATCATGACCTAATTCTCACGAGTGGTCTTAGAAATGCTCCACAGGTTTTCAACTTAAAGGCTGTAAAAAATTCCTCGATCTGCAGATTGTACTGACCCGGGCTTAACGAACCGCCTATTAATTTCTATAAATTGACTGTTTAACCAACTGTACCGCAGAAACCAATGAGTTCAACCTTGAATCACTTCTCCAGACTATTGTGAAAAACATAGAAATAAAATTAATTGATTAATTAACATAGAAATTTTCACAATAGTCTGGAGAAGTGGTTCAGGGTTAAACTTATTCATTTCTGCGGTACAGTTGGTTAAACAGTCAATCTATAGAAATTAGTAGCTCCTAATGACATCAGCAAGCCTTGGAAACATTTTGGGAGCATTACTGGAATGTTAGACTCATGGTCAGATCTGTTGGTCATGATCGGTTACTCCAAAACCTTGACTTTTCCCAAACAGGTACCGGTTACTTCTTACCAAAATCTAATCCCACACCCCCCTCCCCACCCCCAAAACAGATACCGGTCACGTTTCAACATAAATTCCTATCCGGCATGTCCCTACAGGCCCTTCTAATTTTGCTAAGCACCTATGAAAAACGAAAAATGAAAAGAAGCCCAACTCAGTTTGTAAACACTTGAGTCGTAGGATTGCAAACTCCTGGGTCTTAGGACCCGTAACAGAACAGTTAATCCTACCTTGATCAACCAACCCTCCCACACCAGACCCGTTCCCTATAATTGGAAGGCTTTTGCGAGAAAAAAAAAACAGAACTTAAATGGTCAGCGCATTTACTGCCATAGCAAAGCGTTTCCGTTCATGCGATCAACAAACCCCAGACAATGTGTGACTTGTACTTTTAGTAAAAAGTCATTTTGCATAGAATCAATCGACTGAGGGCTGACGGCGTCATCAGGTGCCGAACAAGGGCAACGTTACTAAACCAGGTACTGCTGCTGCTTATTAATACGAACTTGCTGTAGTCAAATACCCCTGAACCCACCTCGGTCACAGTGCACTCCGGCAGAATACATAGACTTCCGATTGTTCTGTTATGATTTCACTGTGAAGCAAACTCTCTTGGATTCTTGAAGGTAAGTAATTGAAAAATCTATACGGTGTTCTTTCAATCGTTTACTTCATCCTAAGCAATGAAATCTCCTGAGATCCGGCTTTTGAGTTCCCACTTTCTTGAACCCGTCACTCTAAAGTGCCCGGGCTGACTAGGCCATGATCATTGTTATCATTTATGCGAGCAAGGGTGAAACCTTTTATCCCCCGACTGACCAACCCCGCAGGAAAAAATGCTGGTTGGTTTGGACGACCCGAGATTCGAGCCCTACATCAACTAGTTGCCACTACACTATCCACCTTCGCCACTTCTTTATACCTATCGAAAAAACTTCTTCCAGCCAGCAATAATATCATCCTTATTTTGAAATTATCGCTGTAATAAAAAAAATGACCAGAATGTGATTTCTCAAGGACACCTTATCAACGAGCAAATTTCGCACTTTGAGAATCAAAGGCGATAACGGGAAAACTCATAAATGAACATAAAAAGTTTGATAGACAAATTGACGCCAAAGATTGATTCGAGGAGAGTGGGAGAGAGCTGGAGGGAAGGTGTGAGTCCGAAAAGTTGTGAGAAAAAGGCTTCCGGAAGCTTGAAGGCTCCAAAATTACAGAAGTTAAATGAGGTCGAATGGACTCGTGTGTTGCCCTAGGGCATCCTTTGGTATTCCTCCGGCGGCTAAGTTCACTGCAGGAATGAGGCAACTCGTACAAAAGGGCCGCGTGCGAGATCAACTGAACCGCCTTTCCTTCCAACTAAGCCAAAGTGGCCTTCCCATCTCCCATGCCTAAGGCGACGTCCAGCGATTCTCTGAGCAAGTGAAGCAGGAGTCATAGGCCTTTTACAACAGTTGTATTAACTTTTTCTTGTCCGCGGTCTTTAATACTAACGCCATCTCCCCACCGCTCTCCCCCTTCCTCTCCCATCACCTGCCTGATAAAGAAACTGCTGACTCAGTTATTAGATGACCAGTATGGGAGCCCACTAGGACCGAGGATTTTTAACCAGAAGTCAAGACTTAGGTTAAGAGACCCCCAAGGGACTTCCTAAGCATATAAGCAAACGTTCATGACAGATTCGGCTGCCGTTCCTAGCTCAGAAGCTGGAAGACCATTGGGAAGTTCGAGATCCATAACTTTGGGACACCCTGTATTATCAAATAGCCACACCCATAAATCATCGAGTAGAAAAAAGCCTTTGCACTTCATGCTGACAGTGGTGTGGTTTTTGACGCTTTTCCCCTTATTCCTCGAGTTTACCTCATTCTTTATTTGTTCGTCTACTTGTTTATTTATTTATTCAATTACTTATAAATATTGTATTCACTACCCTTTGGAAATATGTCGATTTTATTCTGTAGAACCGAAGCCTACAACCCCCGTGCAGAGGTTTTACTCCAGTAGGTTCGTTCCACGTGTTTTTCCGTCTCCTTTTTGAAGATTCACTTGAACGCTCATCATTTTCATCCAATTTCTTGAAATGGCGTCTGTCAGAAAGGCTGATTTAAAACACTCCCATGTCATTAAAACCACCGTTGTTCGCCCATCTTCAACTGGTTCAACTGGCTGTGACTACTACTAGATTTATGTGACTTCGGGCCTATTCTGGCTAGCCATTGTTGGTACTCTGATTTCTGTAAACAATACTGTTATACAGAATCTAATACTACTTTATATGCACAGAACGCAAAGGAAAAAGTGTAGTCCGCCTACAAATATAACTGCGTTCGTGCATACACAACAGTGAGCCACACTTTTCATAGTGGTTAACTGGTAACTGCTTTCGACTTATTCAGTTCGATCACCTATCTCTCTGATAGATTGACGTAAACCGTGCCAGAAAACTTTGCCACAGGTGAGATAACGCCTATTCTGTTCTTTACCCTAACAAGAATAACTCCAGCAGTCCTAGGGGTGAGCCATGCCTCTGACTACCGTTCATTCGCTTCGAATATGGCTTACGATGTTCATTTATTCGAAACCATTATATGGCTCTCCGTTTACGGACACCATTCCAACTGATTTCCAAAGAGTGTTTGTGGCGAACGTCGATCCCCAAACGCGATTGCCGCGCTCTAGACCACTGCACTATCCCTATCCGCCTGAAATAGTACCTGTTTTCTTTCTCTAAAAAGGCATCCTATGTCAAAAAGCCGTGTATCTGCTCCAAGTCGATTTAAAAAGCTCTTGTGGAGGTAGAAAAAATCTATAGAACTCACTGAAAATTACTTAGTTTTGATCAGAGACAAAAGAAGTGCATTACGGTAAGCCATACAAAAAAGTCGAGCCAAATTCTGAACAACCCGTATTCATTTTTATATTCCACTTTTCCAACAGCGGCCCAATGCCTCATAATGTTTTTTATCACTTACATATTTACTCAATATTTCATTTTCAACAATATTCAAAATAAAAGAATTTTATTATCCATACTGTCTCTTACAACGTACTGGACAAATGGACGAAAAAAATTCTTTTTTTTGATTTTTTTTCAAACTTTTTTTTCGAAATTTTCTTTTCCTATAAAATAAGTCTGAACCATCATAGAGGTCATGTCGTCATTATGACGATTAATCTAGCAGAAACCGAAAACAAAGCAGTTTCATTGTCGACCCATGGCGCCATAAAGGTGCCAATTCAGATTTTTTTGCAATCGTACCAATAGATAAGCCAACCCACCCACAACTGATTTCGCTAAATTTGCTTATAAAATCGAACTCCTTCCTGAAAACTGACCCTTCCCTTATCTAAACGATACCATGTAGCTGAACTTACTTGATGTTGGGAGCAATTTTTTACAACTTTTGTTTCAGAAAGGGCATCCTATGCGAAAAGGGCCCCGTACCACGGCAGTTGTTATTGATCATCGAAAGAGTGTGTTCAACTTGTTGTATAGCAGTACTCAATTAACAAATCAACAATGTTTGCACCCAGAGGTGATATTCTACTGGAGAGAAAATGTGTAGATGAGATGTCACAGCATTTATTTTAGGTCGTATGCTCCGTTGCCTTATGGTTTTCGGTTCACTAGGAGCTGTTGTGAACTTCCCGGTAAGTTCCCGGTAGGTATAGTACCTACATCACAAATTGTACCACCCATAAGGGCTATAATTCAGGCAAATGTTTTTCCAAAGCTAGAAAAACTGCCGAATACGGCAATTTTAATGATCTGATAAGCTGTTGTAGACTTTCCATAACACGATTGCCCGTAGCAGATGAACCGCAAGCGCAAACCTTTTGAGGAGTTGTCATGTTCCTTTCCCAACAACACGGGAATACTCGGTATCTAGGCCTAGGAAGCCTCCCAGACCTTAGCTTACAAAAACGTTTTGGTTTCATAGGAGTAGTAAGGACTGGAATAACAGCTTTCGCACTGAATGCCTATTATGAGTGAGAGGAAAAGATCTACTCACTGCAGCGGAGCAGGTAGAGGTGGGATTTTGAGGTATAGGACGTGGAAATCAAGTTGATGCCCTTTTAGGAAAACGAAAACAAGTTGCATGGGAATGAACGTTAACGAAGAATGGGGAGTGAAAAATTCCAAGGCTTCCTTCAAGAACAATCTTAGTTGCGAAGAATTGGAAGCTCACCTTACAACATAATTAGCCTCTTAGGAAATAACTTCGTTTTTCCAAAAAATTCAACAATCGATGGCCAGTCTTGATCATTTTCAGGAGGGATATTCAAATTCGTATCCGAATACTTCATACAAGTCGTTTCAAACGATGATCAACGACTCCTACATAAGACGTGGGTATGAGGTAAGCTGTTTATCCGTTGAAAGAAAATTATTTTCAAAAAAAAATTGCATTTTGCGATAGTGAATTTATTCCTGAAGGTACCAATAACATAGAGTCTAGAAGTCTTTGAAGTCTTGGGGCATTAATCAATCCAGCCTGAGGGATGCACCTCGCATTCGACTTCCATTCCAAATCGTAGTGTCCTATTGAATACGTATGAGGCCTATACAATAAGCAGCAGAGGCCAGCGGATATTCAAGTTAGCGCTTTCATTCTCCCAAACGATTCTGGTACAACTGAACGGCCTCTGAGGGATGAAAGGCTCGGTTGGCCGAAGTGGATATCGGCCCGGGATCCGAACTAGTGACAGTGTTTGTGAAGTAGTGCACCACATGCCACTACACCACCTTTCGGCTGAGCTGTAACGTTTCGCCTAGTTCGGGAATTTTTCTACGTATCTTAGCCGAATCATTAAATTATGAACTAGTATATGCAATTTGTTAGGCATATATTAAAAATTTTTGACTACGTCTAGAAATTCTGTACCACTTACTTGTTCAGGATGGACTCTCCTCAACCCTCTTTATATGGGTATGGTCGGCGATCTTGAACGTATGGTTCATCGGATATCTGTTGGGAACATTCGTCACACCCTATTTCACGGAAAATTACGGACGAAGAAGTGAGTCATGTATAACTCCCACAGAATAATGTCTTGCATCAAACGCTAATGGCAAATTAATATCTAAAATCAAAAGACTACGACAGCTTCATCGAAAAGGCTCTATGCAGTTGAAAACGTGATGTGAGCAACATTCATCTGACGCGCTCGATTGTAAAAATGTAGGAAGGGACGCGCGCGGTTGCAACGCGGTTTATTAGCCGGCGGGCTTTAGGTTAAAGGAATGCCGATTTCTACTTTATTCTAGGCATAATTTCCTCAGAGGATCTGGAAGTGGGAATAAAAGACCTGGACAACGTAAAAGATTAAGGTAGACAAGGTTTGACAAGGATGCGAAAAGGCAGCCTAGGCGAAAAAAAACTTTCCTCAGGTCAAGTAGGCACCATGTACGATGTTTGATGATACCTCAACAAGTAGGAGCAAAAGTCCTAAGCACGTCGAAAAGAAAACAAGAGAAACGTCTAAGCATGCCCTACAATAAGTACTAGTACATGCTGATTATTATTTTCACTCCTATTTTTAATTTTATCGAGTGGCCAATACCGTAATGCCCTCATACGTGCCGCTCTGCATTCGACCCGAATATGGTAAACAGTGTGACCGAGCACTGAACGTTCATGCGCCTCGATACTGAAACCTTTTTCAGGTTCTTTTTCAACTTTTTTTTTTCTGTCCCATGCCATTACTAAAGTCTTCTGCAGAACTCATTTTCTGGATTAAATTCCATGTTCTCTCATCTTGAAACCTCGGCATGTCTGTTGTACTTGAAACTGATAATTTTGCTTCTGATAATTTCCGTCGAAACGTTTAAAGATATAAAGATTCCCACCTAACAACCTCGTGGCAGAAGCAAAATTATCAGTTTCATTTTCTGGATTTTTTACAAATTCGCTCATCAGCAGTTCAGGCATATCATAAAGGGGGCCTTGGCATCATTTTTATCATCACAGCCAGACCGATTTCACACATAATCAGAAAAAGTGACCACGCTGTCGCTAGATTCGGGCGTTCGCGGAGGGTCTTAGTGTCCAGGTAAGCCGGGAAAGAAGATTAAAAGAATGCCTCCTTATAAGTCGGCTATGAAGGCCCGCTGTAGATACGTTTTGTTCCGATTCTCCATTTCTACTCTTGACCTTATACGATGTCATTTTCTGGACCATGAAAAACATTGGTCCATTCAAACAAACCGATCCTCTGGCCAACATGGTCGATGCAACTGCAGCCAGTTCCCTATTTCTTCGATTTCTTTAAGAGGAGTTTTCCCGAACACCCTTATTAATGGTAGCTCTTTTCAGAAACACTGTTCGGAGCAAATGTTGTTGCTTTCTTGGGTGCGACTCTCGCCTTCCTGAGCATCGTACTCTCAGTCCCAGAGTTGTTCTTTGTCTCCAGACTGATAGGATCCTTCAGTTCTGGCGTCTCATTCGGTGCTTTGATACTCTTCCTACAGGTAATACTATCCGTTCACATTCGAATCTTACGGTAGACAGTGAAGGACATTTTCAGGAAGCCACTCCCACAGAGTACCGTGGTATGACGTCGTTCCTATCAGAAAACACTTTCATCGCTACAACAGTGATGGGAATCGGATTCGGGATGGATGCCGTTTTTGGCAACAACCTACCGGTACTTACAGGTAGGTAGATTGAAACTGACATACAGCTGGGAAATTATCATAGTGGGATTACCACAAAAATAAGGTTCAAGAACGATTGCTCTTAGGCATTGCAATGATTCCTGCAGCCGCTTCAGTTCTGCTGGTTATACCACTTCAGGAAACACCAAAGTTTCTTCTCCTCAATCGAAAGGATCGAAATGCAGCAAAGGAATCGTTGAAGTATTACCGAGGTAGGTCATTACCTCTAGTGATATGGGTTGGACGATTCTCCCCTGACCCTCTCATCACTCAGTAGAGCCAACGGAGAAAGAATTGAGAGAGTTCCCGATTCCAGGTGACTCTCCTGATTTGGATGCCATTTTGGATGAAATGATGCTCGAAATTGACGACAAGTCCAGCACAAAACAGTCTATGCTATCCACAGTCATCACTATCTTACGTGAACCGCATTTGCGAACGCCATTCTTCATCGGTTGTCTATGTCTCCAAGTAAGTCGTCAGATACTAGAGACACACGGCTGTTAAACGCTGCCATAGTGTGCGTCGCCAGCTCAGAGCGCGAATTTTTCGCGCGCGGCAAGCGGCATTCACGGGATGCTCAGCACGATTATGCCGAGTCACTGAAATTCCGGGCCTCAATAAAACGGGGCAGACCCGACAATAATGATAATGAAAAAAATAATGACAAAGTGTGCTCCCAGAACAAAAACAATTTGGGGATAATTTCTAAAACTGCATTTTAAGGTTGTAATCGGTATTTGGTCGATCATCTACCTCTCTACTGACATGCTGATGACGCATTTTTCAACCGAAGTCGCCCAGATGGCTTCGCTTGTATTCATCGTATTCAATTTTATTGCCGGCATGGGTGGCATGTTTATCATTGAGAGGTTGGTTTTTCATAGACAAAGGTCTGAAGAAAACCATTTCAAATATTATATTTTGAGTAGCAGATAATTTAAGTCTGTATGACTGACATAAGACTTGTATTACCATATCTATGATACGCATTATAACCTTTTTTTAAATAGAGACCTAGTGAGACCTCACCGTCGTGGGAGAGGGAGACCGAAAATTGACGGCCATTTTTCTGCCACTGCCCTTATTCCCAGCTACATCACTCCTGCATACCTCTTAATATTCAAGTACTACCTCACAATGAGTCTTGAAGACTTAGCTCTCAATTATGTTTAAAAAAAAACCTATGTCACGGCGACCTCTTTGGCTGGGTGTGGTGCATTAGGACGAAATGGTCGCGTCGCGGTGAGAGGGGCGTCGCGCGCGAAGGGATGTAGCAGTAGACAGCAGTAGGTAAGAAATCCAGGAACAAAAGTACTAATAGTAGAATAATGCATAAAATAATGATCGCATATGGATTGACCTGTATGAAGAAGGCTAGAGCTGTAATAACGGCGAATGAGTGGTCCGCGACAGCCGCGTGCGGCGAATCGATTACCCGAAATCGTTCCTGACGCCCGTCTCCCCCTTGGCTCAATGAGGGCACGAGGGTCAGATGAGAAGTTCTTTAGAGCTGATGTGACCCTGATCCGGATATGAGCTATGGAAGTGAGCTTAGAATGGGCGGAGCTAGCATGGAAAAATGCTAGTGAACTAATGGCATTCACGTAAAAATGCTCGAAATTTTATTAAAAAAAAGAAAAATGTAACTTCTGTCAAAGCATAAGATAGAAATAAGAATAAAAACAAAAAAAATATATTTAGCCAAGTCTTCAATCAGGCTCTAGGAAGAAGTTCCCAAAATAATGCGATGATTTCAGGTTTGGCAGACGTACATTGGTGCTTTGGCTTGGAACATTCAACACGATCTCGTTAGGTTTATACGTGGTATTCGATCAATTGACAGCTTTGTATAACCCCTTCAAGTGGGGTACTATTATAGCACTGATACTGTTTGGAATTACTTATGGGTAAGCTGAACGTAACCTCTTCTATGATCATTACTTATAACCCCACAGCATAGATTAAAGCTCTTGGATTAGGCTGGACCTAATGGCACACAATAACTACAATTGGATTGTATTTTGATATCTTCCCTGGAATATCTGAGAATTTGAAGAAATCAGCTCGAGTTGTATGTTTCAGCGTTGGCCTCGGTCCCATAGCTTTCTTCATTACCTCGGAACTGGTAAACCAACAACATCGATCACTTGTACAATCGATGGTATTTGCAGTAAACACTATTGCTAACTTCGCTTTCACATTTGCTACACTTCCAGCATACACAGCGATCCAGGTACTTGAACAATCTACCTTATAATGTAGACTTCATTGGCAATAGGAACCAAGAAGAAGCTGTTCGTTCTACTCAGAAAAAAAAAATGCCAAAAAAGCCACTGTCTCGATTAAAACTCAAGACAAGTTGTGTAATTTGCGACAATAATCCCCTGTAATTGATCTTGAAAAGTAAGCACATATGGGAAAATGACCCACACCTGTCTCTATCTACAGCCGGCATAGAGCCGAAGGGTGTGGGTCAGGAGGCGCCAAAGCGGTCGTCTCACCAAATTAGGTCACCATTGGGCGATTGGGCAGAAAAGTCCTACTACAGCTGTTACGAAAACAAGAGGTGACCCCTGAAGCATAAGTGTACGACAATGCAACGTATTGTAAGGGTTTCAGAAGGTTATACCTTCTATATCCTGAACGCTAGTACAACGTTTTTTTACAATTCACATTTCCAATACAGTATCCCGCAGTCAAACCAACTGAAGCGCATTTCTATTCATCTTATTACACCACTCGATTTCAGTCTCTGTCATTTATTCCACTCTTCATAATCCCATCAATACTTTCACTGATCTACTTGTATTTCAATATGCCGGAAACAGTTGGCAGGGAAGTGCACGATATCGTTGAGGAACTTATGGCACGATCAAACAAACAGAAGGTGATTTTTGTTTCGAAACTTTTTGAACATATGCTAAGGATTCCCGATCTGAATGGATGTCAGGGATGTGCTTCGTTGCGCGCGTTCGTCGAAACTAGGTCACACCGCAGCCGTCGCATGCGGCGGGTCAGCCGCGATACTTGACAGATGTCGTACTTGTCAGTGGGGCATACGATTTGGTCCGTGGCAGTTAGCCAAAGCGAAGATAACACGGACAAATGCAAATAGTTCGCTCCACTGACACTTGGTGGCACTGTAATGTCATCATGAGACCTCAGTGGGGTGCGCCGCGCGCGAAGTGAGCGGGGTGACCTACTTTCGACGTACGCGCGCAACGGACGTACGCCGGATGCCAGGCATCAGGATATACCATGGGTGGTAATTAGACAGTTGCAAATGAAGGGTTACCATAGGGAAGCTCGGGTTATCCCTGATTTGCTCACAGCAGGTAGTGATTTCACGGCAGTTGTCTTGCTGCGCGCCATCGGTTGCGTCAGCTAGTCGTATCGCTGCGCCGCTCATCGTTCAGGGATTATGCCCATTAACCCAACGTATGGGGTTTACTACTTTGTTGCAGGTATCAACGACAAAAGACAAAGCGCCATTCTATCTTTGTGATGTTGACATCAAAAAACGAAAGGAAGACGTTGTATGAGAAGAAAGGACGTCTAGCACAGTCGTTCTTTACTGATCTTCGGAGTCTGGTGATGAACTCAATAGGAAGAAATAGATCTTCATTCATACGGCTCCCATACTTTATCTTCTTTTAATGTTAATAATGAATAAAATGTTAAATAATGTACATCCGTGATTTACCTCTCCATCCATCCTTGAAGCTTCCCACAGTTTCCTTTTAAAATCACGTAGCGAACAGATGGGGCATACAGGTAGACGCACAAAAAAAGCACGAATTTGCTGTTTTATATAGAGTAGAGCCTAGTAGATAGTGGTATGGCATGTAGAATGGTATGTCGTAGTATAGCTTGACGTAATGTAGGGAACGATGATCTCCTAGGAAATGGGAAATCTGAGGGTCGTGAAATTCGGCTTCTAATTCCAACTATGTACAGATATTCCAGATATTACGGGGTATGGTAAGTTCCGTTCAGTTAGAAAGCAAGCTTGCCTAACAGAACGGGCTCAATCATGCCGTAAGCGAAGCCATGCCACAGTCACCAAAAGCTTTTCGAGCCTGTCATGTCAGAAAGCGATAGAAACTTCTGTGGTTAAATCGTCAAAAAATTATGCAAGGGGAACGGAACAAGACGTGAGTAAAGAGTAGAAAAAATGGCATAAAAGGCATAAAACTCACCATTATCGATGAACAGGCAGTTGTAAAGGAGTTATAGGGAGCTCATCGGATACACATAATCTCGGAATGTTACTTCGCAGAAGATCTCGTCCAAACAGAACATTCCTGGAAGGATCTATATGAGCAGCACACAAGTGCCCCACTGCTCTAGCTTATACCGACGCTGCGCGTCTCGGTTATGGTAAATGTTTGAAAACTGTGGCGGCATGGTGAACATTCGCAGAAATCATTTCCAATCAATCAGTTTGAAGAGTTTAATGAATTTTTTTTTGTATTACGTCGGAAGATTTGACAGACCGATACATATCAGATACATAGTGAACGAAGTTTTCCGTCACGTATACGAACTTCTCTACGGAGAAGGAATGTCCTACTAAGGAAGGATTTGTGAGAGTCAGGAGCTGCCATTCGGGTTACCCCAAAACCAGGTCACCCTAAACAGTGAAGTTGGTAGCATGTGACACCGGCATTTCCCCAGCTTCTGATCATGCTATTCTTCTTCATGGAGAAACGAGTTGTTCTAGCTTTCTTCGGATAATTGTTTTGTATTACATGTAGAAGGAAAAAAGGCAGGGCAAAAAAGGAATACAAAGACGGGGCTTCTAGGACTGAGGTCTGTTCTATCTAGTGTCTGGCTCGCGTTGAGTAGTCATCCAAGTTTAACCATATGAACGTAAGCAATGAGCGCCTATTCCCTTTTCTCACAGTAGCCCGATAGGCTTGGAGCTAAAAGGCGCAGCTTTCTTCAGAGGAAAGACATTCACGCCTACACTGAGCCTTTCTCTCATTGAGTAAGGGCGTCTCTCCACTACAGCCCTTGCCCCAAATAAGCAAGGACCAGCTCCAGTTACCGGCAGCTATCGGCAACGTGCACAATGTACATTGGTTTCACGAACATTTTGAGGACACATGGGTCTAGTTCTTAACGGACCACGTGTCAGCCAACTGCACCAATGTAGAAAAAATGACACTGATCAATGTCGTGCTACTGTAGTACTCCTGCCTAGAATTCATTATAAATCCGCTATCCCACCCCACAACTACATTTTCACCCATCAACCCATCTGACGGGTCTACTCAGTTAATCTTAACACCTTACCGTATTGAGGTAATCGAGATGGCTGCCAGTCAATCGCTGTTGATCTACGGCATCGTCTCGCAATCAGCTTAAGCTGAAATACACATTTGCCTTCATTTCCCAAATCATTTTTCACCCCGGGGCTTGCATCAAGGACGTTTTTCGTCGATTGCTTCGAATATGAGGAGAAGCGCACAACTGACAAAACTTTCACAGTACATTTACTTCAACATCATACATTACACAAAAACCTCAACATCATACGTTACGAAAAACATAGTACAATTGATGAAAATCCATAAATATGAGCAGAAACAAATAGAGTATTAATCACAGGACAACAATATCGTAAAAGTATAGCTTCGATGAAACCAACCTGCAAAAGGCACTGCCTAAAACACACGTCAGAACACCAGCTTTAATGCTATTCAAACAGACAATCTATTATACCTTTGTACCCGAGATGAGGAATGGGTGGAGGTGGCATCACACTGTTTTATGGCTTCAAAACACGTTTAAAATTTAAACACCAGCAACTTTTCATATGATCACAAACCAGAGAACCCCAGTAATCGAAACCTCTTGTCAGAATTCGTATCACATATACCAGGATGAAACATTAGATCAGAAAAATGAAGAATAACATACTGAGCTACTGTGACGAGGGAATCTTCCTCTGCAATGAGTCAAAGTAGACCTCTCGAGAGGTCTCGCTCTATAAATCCTGGAAACTGATCCGAAGGTTGCTGCGGTGCGAATAAATAGCCTCCGTTCACTTGTTCTCGAGCAGCCACAACGGTAGCAGCCTCATGAAGATCGACTAGCATGTTAGGGTTCAACCCAGCACTCGAAGTAGAAGGCTGGAAAATGAATTCACTATTTATCACTTACATAAGAATGGTGACTTTAAAAATATTATTCTCAAAAACTCAAGCTGGTTCAAGTCATACTTGTAGCATAGACATGAATGGCGCTGGATTGATTCCCATTGTAGTGGCCAGAGAAGCTAGCTGGCTAGTCGGTTCTAAAGAAATGAAAAAAGTCAAAAAAGGCAAATCATTGCAAAATTTCGATGCGATCACTTTATGTCCTTCTCTTTCTGCTGAAAACATGTGCTGGAAAAAACTGAATAAGCGGTTTTGTTCGAGCGACGTACTGATATTTAGTAAAATTTAGAAGCTAATCACTAAGTTTACAGATAGCTACACGATAGCTATTTCGGTTAACAGAACCAACAGAAGTAATTGGAAGTATTTCTTGATGAAAAACCTTCTAAGACCGCCCGTACTGCGCCTTGTGGATGGGCATCCTTGTAACAGCGTGGTCTACACAGTATAGGTACCGAAAAGTGAAAATACTCACCAACTGGGTTACAAGAGCGCATTATATTTCCTAGTTGATTACAGCCGGCTTCGATGGCGGCTGAAAAGCATTCAATAACTCCTACTAATTCTAATTCTTGCGATAGACTGCTTGAAATGAATATCGAGAACTACCTTTGTGCATATAGAAAGAAATCAGATCGTTCTTCTCTAGAGCCGCAATCGCCTTGTCAATCGTTTCAATCATCAGTGGAATAAACTGCAAAAGCAGCAGTTGGTTAAAAAAATACTGCACTGTACAGAACCAAATTGAAAATAACCAATTTCTGACGCGTTCGAGATGGAAATTTGTAGAAAAGGAATGACCTACATGATATTGAGGCTTTCCGTCTGAACCAAACATATTCAAAAGTGTAATGCGAACATCGCCTAGCTTTATTCTCTCCTTCCAGATTGCTACAAGATCCTGAACAAAAATTATGATTATCGAGTGCATTGCGTCCTCATTATATGAACGAGTGTCAACTGAACTACTCAGTGCACCTTTCGACAACACGTACCTGTTCAGTAAGATTGAGCGGAGGTGGCCGAGGAGATATTGCTTGGTGCAGAGTAGTCGGGCGGGAAGGGATGTTAGGGGTGGATAGCGGTGTAGTTACGAGTGGAGACTGCGCATTTTGCGACGGACCTGATTTTTCAGCGATTCTATTTGGAATGGATGTCCGAGGACATTCCTAAAAACAAAGGATTCAAACATATAAAATTACAAGCAACCTTTTGAATTACCTCAACTGTAGGCGCAGGTTCCTTCTGCTGTAGAGCAGTAGGTTTTGTAACAGTATCCTTCACCGGATTTGAAACATCACTGGACTCATTACTACTGGGACGTCCACTGTCAGGCGACAGTGGACCGGCTGTTTGAGAATATGAAGAAGGCGGAACAGTTTTGTTGACAGGTGGAGTATCCCTGCCAGCTGATGATAGAGTTTTGGACTTGGTAGGAGTCGGCTTACTGGCAGTCGGAGATCCTGGTGGTGTCCATCCAGGTGTGAATGCTGAGAAATAAATTTTCGAAATAGCAGAAATTGCTGTTCTTGCATAATTCAGGGGTGATTGAATGCCCCGTGATTTGAAGAGCGAATTTGGATGATTGCATCGCAATTCCAATGAGTGAATGGCTGCTTTCATAATCCGCCGGCCGGCCGGCGAGCGAGCCGGCGCGCCGGCGCACTGATGTAAAGCGAGTTACTTCCTATGTAAGAAATCTACGTCTGTTCCATTTTATTTCACGGTTCTGGCCTGTTCTGACCGTGAAATAAAATGCAACAGACGTAGGTTTCTCACGTACGAACTAATTCGTTTCACGTCAGTGCGCCGGCGCGCCGGCTTGCTCGTCGGCCAGCGGACTATGAAAGCAGGCACTAGGTCATTGGTGTTGCGAGACCACTGTCAAGCATTTGCCGCGCGCGTGAGTATCAACAATTACTACACGAAGGAGTGAGAGGCAACGAACATTTAGTCATGACAACACGAAACTAATCTCATAGTATCGACCATCACGCCGCGTGGACTGGCGTGTCGCGCTGGCAACGAGGTGTAAACGATGGGAGAAATGCAGCCTAGCCTACAAAATCTCGGGCGATGCTCATGAACAACTCCGTTTTGCCCGACGACCACTATGCTGTAATTTAGCTAGCTGGTAAACTCCCAGAGCAAGAAGAAACTCACATCGAGCAGGTCTTCGGTTTCGTTGACCTCTTTTGACACGCGAAATAAGATCGTCGTTCGGATCGTCAACTGCGATGCTAATGTTGACCTTTTTCTCTCCAGTTTCTTCAAGCTTCTTGGCACTTCTTCTTCCTCTCTTTGTTGCGGAACTTGCAGCGGAATTGTTACGAGACTCAGCGTTTGTTGGCGTGTTATTAGTGGAAGCAGATTGAGCAGTGGGTGACGGTGTGGAGACATTCCTTTCAGTTTCCCTTTCCTTGTTACGTATTGGTGTTTTCTTTTTGAATGTTCTGAGTGACTCCTCCAACTCTTCTGAAATGAAAATGACTAAAGGGTTCCGTAATTGCAATGTGTTATCTGAAGTAAACTTGTAGCTAGCTGCGCATAAGGCCGGTGAGGGCGTAGCCAGCTGTCAATGTTCCCCTTAACGTCGCACAGTACATTACCTACCACTGATGCACTTAGAATCCATCAAAATTAGGAAACAAAGGCGAGTTTCGAAAATCATTGCAATCTAAGAGAGAGGGAGAGAGAGGGCGTTCATTGCCTCTAACAAACCTAGTTTGGAAGAAGTTTCTCCCCAAATGTTGGTATCTGTTAAACGTTGTCTGAGGCCCGAAAGCCCTGCTGAGGCTTTAGAAATGTCTTAGTCGTTGCTCGATTTTTTTGAGCGTAGATCTACCAATAACATGTACACTACGGCTACAAGAGGTATTACTATACATCTTACAGATTGACGAGCTTGCTCTAATTGTAAGTATAAGAAGGCTAGTTCCAGTTCCACAGATGACTTAGATCCTGTTAGTATAATTCAATTCGAAAAGAATCGGAGAGTTATGAAGGGATAGACAAGGAGGTTACTTTACAAGAGGGTTTATTTATTAACTCTCATGTTCCCATATCGTTCTTAAAAATGGCATAGTACTCACTTTCCTCTGCTCTCC